TTTTTTAAGAAAATATCACTATTTATCATCCAAACCCCTCTGACTGCTTCACTTCTTGGACGACATAAGGATGACAAACCCCTGTGGTGAAGAACAGTCCTTTACTTTGTGGAGAGCTCCACACACACACACACACGGACACACACACACGGACACCGACTTGATTTACAAGGAACTTTTAACTGTCACATCCAGCAGGAAGACACAGAAACGACACTCTACAGTTATAAATGAAATAACAGGACATCTCATAAGGTGCTTCATAATATGCAATGGGAATGTTATGAAAAATGTCCACATGTTCCTACAGAGGCACCAGTACTGCATCTATATATGCGTCCATATCATAATATAGAACAATGTACATAAAAATAGAGCAAATATTTACAGAACACAGACTATTTACAACATCTTAAACGGGCTTAAAGATGGAGAGCGACATACATATACTGCAAATATATATATATATATATATTTTTATGTCAGATGTACAAACGGAGTGATGTGCAGGAGCCATGAGGGTGAAAATCACAAATTAGCCATCTGCAGCAACTGTTCTTTAAACTGCTGAGCGTGGTGCGACAGGTCGGTGACTCTGTCCACCATCTCCTGGATGGCGGCTGTGTTCGGGTAGTTCAGGGCGGCCGTTTTAGTCGCGCACACCACCGTCTTTAACAGGTCGCACAGCACGTTGCTCGAGTTCATCACCCTGTTTGCCACCTCAGGCACCGAGGCCTGCCGGGACAGCGTGTCCCCGATGAAGACCAGTTTGTGGGCGCTGAGGATCACGAACTTGCTGTGTGCCACGAAGATGCGGGGGGGCTGGCCGGCACTGACGCAGCCGAAGAAGGCGTCAACGGCGCTGAGGAGCGTGACGAAGTGCTGCTCGCACTGCTCCGAGTAGAAGCTGAGCAGCTGGCGGTCCCGAGCGCACAGGTGGGCGGACGGGGAGAGGGAGGTGGAGGAGGACGAGGAGTCTGAGGGCGGCGCCGAGTGTTGGTGTGAAATCCACTGCGTGATGTCGTTCTCCACGGGTTTGCTCACTTCCTGCTCCAGCTTCTTGAACTGATTGAGCTGTAGAAGCAGTACAGATGTGAGGTCAAAGGGCAAAGGTTTAGCTTTAAATACACATAATTATTTATAATGGAAAATATTTGAAGTGAACATTTAAAAAAAACATCAGGTTTAACCCACAGATTAAAAATGGGGGCAGAAAATGATCAACAGAGTTCCCTTTATTAACCTGACAGAGGGAAGTATAAACACGTTTTGGAGGAAGGACGCGTGTCTAAGCTTTGATTGCACACTGATTGTTCATTTCATTTCAAAGCAAACATGTTTCCCATTTGGCTTATCCATTTTCTTAACCACTTATCCTCCAGTTCAGGGTCACAAGGCCAAATTGCGTTTTATAAATATGTAAATTTAAGCAGAAAAATCAACATAAAAACACTTTCCTTTTTGCAAAGCATTTTATGGCTTTTCTCCTTTTTAACAGCAAACTTTTGCTGTCTTAAAAGTATCAAACTGAGTCTCTGAGAAAATGTTTAATGTTAAATTTACTGGAAAACGCTGTTACTTCGAAGAAATTAGAAATTAAATGACCAAAATGAAACAGCCACCCTTTACATTTCATCCTAAAAATGTAGAAGAAATCAGTTTCACACCAACAATCCCACCACTGCTGGCTGCAACTCCACATCCACAAACGCCTTCGTATGAAAATAGCACCACGAGATAAATAAAATAAACCTAAAACTCTAGACTCCATGTTTACATTTGTACGGCAGCATTTGTTTTATATATTTTTGCACATGTGGGTCACTTCAGGGCCGTGACAGCTCCACCTTGTAATCTCATGCTGGCCTCCATCGAGAGAATGATGTTAGAATCAGATCTGAGCGCCGAGGTCTGCAGAGGCCTTCGTAAGAACCTCGAAGGGCCCCTAATCGCTCAGTGTTATCATCTGTTTTGTTTAAGACTGTGAGGTATTTGACTCCCCCGCACAGTGTGCGCTCCACCTGCGAGGCCCAAACAAACACAAAGCCTCACCTGTTCCTGACCCAGCTGAACTTGACTCTGCTTGATTATGTTTTCTTTCTCCAAAAGCTCCTTCTGCTGCCGTTCAAAGTCTTCTTTGCCCTGAAGGGAGGTAAAAAAATGTTTTAAACAGGGTGAGAAACCAGACTCACGTAGGTCTGATCTTTGATACACGACACATAAATTCTTATCTGTTGGGTAAAGTCACTTAAAGTAAATAACTCTACTAACTGTGGATTTAATTGTTTACCTGCAAATGTACATAATCGTAGTCCTCCATCCAGCTTTTCACGCACTTCTCGCTATTGTTCATGTTGTCCTTGTCTGGGGTCGAGGGCACGGGGAAAGGTTTGGTCTGGCCCCCGTTGTTGTCGTTGTCCGACGAGGGGGAGGTGAGCGGGTGGATCACGTTCTCGTCAGGCGTGCTGCCCACAGAGAAAGATCCGTCCACATGCGTCCGCCTGAACAGCAGCTCGGCGCTGCTGCCTATCGTGGAGGCCAGCTGCTTGGTGTCGTCGGGAACAGTCCTGGAGACCATGACGAAGCGGTCCAGGTCGTCGGTCTTGTTGTGGTGCCTTCCAGACGAGGCCAGGGTGTTAAGCGCCCAGCTGCAGTTTTCCAGAGCTTGGTAGATCTGCAGAAGGATCTGCTGTGAGTCCTCCAGGCGTCCCAGCTGCCTTCGAAGCTTACTGTGCAGACTGTTGTCTGACAAAGACGTCGCGTTCACCGCGGCACCTCTGCCAAACACAATGAAGTCTCCCAGACCGGCCCGGACTCTGTCCAGAACTGTGCGGACGTCGTTGGCGTGGCGTTCCATGAAAGGAAAAGTCCTCCAGTGAGGGGAAGCTGCCATTGAATGCAAATTCCCGACTGAGCTGTCCACTGCTTGCTGAAGGCGGTACAGCTTCTGGATGGCGGTGTCCACATCCAGAGCGAGGCGGCCCTCAGAGCTGGAGCCAGTGGAGGACGAGGAGGTGGACATGCTACTGCGCGTGCTGCCCGTGCTGGAGAACGACAGGCGGTTCACGCCGTCCGTCACGTCCGCTACTGCGCGAGCATCCTGAGCGGGGATGTCGTAGATGCCTTTGCTGCCGTCTCTGTCGGCGGGCGAGCTTCTGTGCTGGGAGGTCTGCATGACCCGCGGGATGTCGTACACGTCGTTGCGAGACCCCGCCCCTGAATGAAAGGCAGGCGGTGGCACATCGTAAATGCCTTCATTGCCATTGGTGTTTGGGTGCGGCTGATGAGCCGGAGGCTCCACGTTCGGTGGGAAGTCGTAATGTGACTGCGAGCTCTGGGCGGGCTTGGCGAGGACAGGTGGGGGTACGTCGTAGATGCCTTCCTGTTTGCTCTTGAGGGGCTGCGGGAAGTCGTAGTTCCCCTCCTGCTGGGCAGAGTTGGTCCTGCAGGGAGGCACTGAGTAGACCTGTGGGCGAGGACAGTAATCAGACTGTTATTATTTTTGTTAACATGTATATTATTATCAAACAGTGGAGCTTTCACCTAACCAGTGGCCTCACAGGACTATTTTTTTCCTTGTTGTGAAATCCCCGTCATCATACAAAATGCTCTGCTGCACCTCTACAGAGCATTTCATATCTCAGACATTCATTTATTTGCACTATTAGAACTGTGCATCCCACTCTCTTGCTGCTACCCTCCTAAACAGATGTGGAAACACCTGCGATATGACTCATTTTTTTTCCGCCTCCTGCACACAAACACCTCCTCTGCACTCCTTCTGCAGTTACGTCGCGCCATCCGCACCTGAGAGGTGCTGTCACGCTTTCTCAACTTGAAAATGTAAACACTTATATCGCACTAGGATCGATCGTGCTTTGTGAAGCATCGACCGTGGGCTCTGAAAATAAGGGGCCTCTGAGGCATTCTTGGAGCTGGAGTGTGCACACGACTGCTTGGCCAGATGTGGATATAACAAATTCTTCTAAACTAAAGGCTTGGACGCATTTAGTCCACTTAATGTGAAAGAGTGCAGCACACAGCGAGTGAGCAAACATTTGCCTCTACAGTTGACAGAAACAGTCATAAACTGACTGACTGACTCTTTGCATGTGCATGCAGTCTCATAACAAAGTGAGGAACTATCACTGCTGCGGTACTGGTTTCCTAAAATGGTTTATGACATTTCAATGTTCAGCTTTGGCCTCTTCTGAGGTCCCGTTTAAAGGCACAGCACTAAAATGTGCGCTCGGTCCCGCATTCGGGCCGACTAGTCTTCGGGGATTGGAAAGTCATCGACAAAGAAGGCTCCCCTTCCTAAAACACAGCTCGTTAAGAACTCACCAGAAAAGTGACATGTTTTAAATTCACGACCATCATAAGATTAGCAGTTAGAAACCTGGATTCCTGCAGAGGAGATCGTTTTCTTTTAATCCCCTCCCCCCGGGAGACTCGAGTTTATGACATTCAAAAAATGTGCTAAACACAGAATTTGGACTGTAAATGCACCTCAGTGGGTTTTTACTGGATGCAGTGTGTTTGCACAGCAGTCCTGCAGTTAGAGATTGAGGAAGTGAAAGACCTTCTGGCTTGGGGAGATACTATATTTGAAACCTCAAACTTTCAGCCTCTTGATTCCTTCCTCTAATGCAACGAAGCTTTCACCCTCCCTCGGGCTCAACGCAGCAGAGTGTGCGCTGACGTACATGGCACGGAGCACGATGGGAGCGCAACGGGGGCAATAAAACTGATTTCCATCAGCCTCCAAACGCACTCTTTACAGCTAGACAGGCCTGCCCAAACTGTAATTAGGAACGACGCAAATAACAGGTCCCAGCATATTTCAGGTTATTACAAACAAACTGGTGGCGCGCTGCCTGGTCAGCTCTGGTGAAATCTTAGAGGGTCTGGCAAAAGAAGAGTTATGTCCTTGTCCTTGATTTTTTGTTTTTTTCCCCTGCTGGCGAGTTTAAACACGGAGCCGTTTTGGTTAAACTCTCCTGGCAGGCGAGGCTTTCATTTAAACTGGCCGCAGGAATGCAATAAATATGATATTTGACGTATTATTCATTTAATATAGTCAATTAAGAGAAATTCTAGGAGCTGTATCAATAAACATAAAAATAAAATTTTCCGGACATACGCAGCCTCCTCAATTCAGCTTCATGTGGCTTAAACAAATGGAGTGGCTGACTGATGTGCCCTTTCATTTTGCTTCTGGAAGTTTCTCTTACCCCTTGAGAGGTTGGAGGGATGTCATAGATGCCTTGTGACCTAGGGTCCATTGGTGATGGGGGAACATCATAGACTCCTTGGTTTCTGGCTCCGCCTTGCTGACCAGGGAACATCTGACCAGGTGGAATATCGTACACCTGAAAGAGGGAAGTGAAATGATCACTACTTGTTTCAGAAAAACAATCACACAAAGTTTGGTCTTCATATTATTTGACTGTAGCTGACTTGATCTGATTTTGTAGCACACTATTAGTTTCTGTTTGGCCATATGTGGGATGTCTAGTAATCAGAAGGTCGCAGTTCAATCGCAGACTTCTCAAGTCCACATGCCAAATTGGCTCAGAGGAAAATACTACTCGCCAAATTGCCCCTAAAGTCATTACATTTTTTTTATATAGTTGGCAACAGTGGGAAGGAAAAACTTCCTTTTAACAGGAAGAAACTTCGCCTGAACCAGGCTGAGGGAGAGTTGGGGGTAATACTCAGTGAAGTTTGATTGTAATAGTTAGGAAGCATTAAAAGAAATATATATGAACATGTATGAAGAAGCAAATGTGACACAAAGTAAATAAAATCAAATTTAGTGCTCAGTGAAAGGTGACAATAAGTCACTGCTAAGTTAAAAGCTTCATATTTCTATTTGCACAGGTGCCTCGGTGCAGCGCTCCTATCTAAAGTGAGAGTTCTTTACCACAAAGGTGGCTGTAAGGCCAACTTGCTTTTGATTGGCTGGCCTGAGGTGGTCACATTAGTTACAACTGTTCTCACTGACAGCTGAAGCCTGGGCTTCTTTTCTGACTTGTACGTACGCTGGCCTCATTATTTGAATCTCCGGCTGCGTTTAGTGTCAGCATCCAGCATCACAACAAAGTTTGTATATATGACAGGAAAAAATGCACGATAAGTCCGTTTGATATGGTGAATAGTTATAGAGCAACATGGTCACTGATTGGAGTTTTTCTTTGCACAATATTTTCTCTTTTTGCTCCATTTTTGGTCTCCACCAGCTGCCCTTCAGATGCTAAATGCTCCACTTCCATATTTTGCTAGTTTCCACCTGTCTGTCAGCTGTTTTGAAGTAGTTTTCAGTGGGTTTTTGGCTAAAAACAGAAGGCTGTTTTGGCTGAGAACAAAACTTAAAGAGCGGTAAGAGTTTATGAAAACGGTGAGAACAGAGACCAAAGCTGAAACTCACTACAAAGCAATGTGAAATTGAGGCTAACTGCACAATCAGGTGATGACTTCCTGTAACTCCATCTCTGTAAGCAACTCGAGTTGTTTTCACACTGTACCTTGTCTGTAATTCTAAAAATATCTATTTGAGCGTTTTAAAACAATACAGTACAGTTCTCAAAATGTGCAAACACTACTGCCGCACTGCAGGTTTCAACAGCATGAGAGAAAATGAAGTGTGAAGAATCCTCTCTCATCTCTGCACAGAACAGGAAATGTGGTAGGCAGAATAGCACGATGCAGATCAGAGAATTGGCTTTCTTGTTTTGAGAAATGAAATGCATTTGCCCAGGCACTGTGTGCTGCATCAAAAGCTCACCTGGATGGCTTGTTTTTAAAACGAAGATGCTTGATATGAGGTGAAAACATGCTAACAGATTCGATTGATATCAATGTGTAGGTAAACTAAAGATTATATTTGTACATTCTCAGATGCAATATAGTGTTAAAGATATTTATCCAGCTTATTTTTATGCTTGGCGTTTCCTAGTGTAGCTTTGTATGAGCCACAGTTCAAAATAATCCTTGTTCATAACTTTATCTGTACTTTGGCTCAGCCCCTCAGGTCATCCTCTTTTTGAAACCAGCAGCTTTAGCTCCACCCACATTTTCAAACAGAAGGTGGGTGTGGTTTCGGTACCAGAGATAACCATAACATTCTCTCTCTCTGACATCATACAGACCAAAGATTAGAAAAAAAGAGAGGGGGAAAAAACACTTCAAGCTGTGTTTTTAGTACAGCTTGTAACCTTAACGTATGCCTCACAGCTATTACTAGAAAATGACCTCATTACTGGAAATTAATGGGTTTAATGGCTTTTTTTGGTTTTGAAAAACAATAATTTTAAGGAGTTTTAGGAACCTATATTGGTTAATTTTAAACAAATTCCTTTATTCTAAGTCATAGAGTGCACTGTATTATTGGGTTCACTGTTTGGCAGATTATATCAAAGCTTCTTTGGTTGCTAAAAAAAAAAAAAAAAGATCCTGGTGTTATGGTGCATGAGGAACCTACCCCTTGTGATCTGATGGGTGGGACGTCATAGAGGTCCTGCTGGTTATGCTGTCCTGGGCTGTAAGTGTAGGTCTGTCCCACTCTGGTTGGGGTCACCACCTGTCCGAAAACAGCAGGAAGACAAACAATCAGTTGTCGTCCAGGGTAAGAGGACAAATGCTCTGACTCACAACCTAGCAGCCCTGCTGCCACCCAACTCTCAAGCGTCTGTACATGCATGTGTGCCGACTTTTATTTGTTTTTCCTGTTTTCCATTTCTAGTCCCTGAATGACCCAGGGATAGTAAGTGATTACAGTCAAGGCAGATATTTTCTAACAACATCCTCCCTGTGCCAGGCTGTTTACAAAGGACCCAGGGAATGAAGTTATAAACACAACCCTGCAAAAATCTCCTTAGGCAGCTGTTTTGAAAGCATTGCAGGCACGGATGTATCTCTGGATTGAAAATGACTGGGGGCCATTTTCCATTGTCTATAGAATAGCAGCAAACTGCCCAAAACAGATTTCTAAAGACAAAAAGGTGACATAGATTTTACACCATTGTAAAATGACATGACAGCCAATTCAGTCAGTTTCCCTTATTAAAATCCTAACATGGTTACAAAAGTGCTGAAATATACCATAACAGCAACTAAGGTCATATATTTTAAGAAGTTGCGAATGGCTACGTTTGATCATGTAGCTTTCTAATTTTAAAACAGCGGTGTCTTTGTTTAGAAGCCGAAATAGTCAGGCCTGAAAAACACAGTTAACATAAGCCTGCAGTACTAGCTAAACCAGATAAGGTTGCTAATGAGGACTAACGTAAAACAGGCAACTACTAAACAGATCAATGGGTTATCTAAACATTGAGAAACTGCTTTATTATTTGTACCTTTGTTGTATAGTTTTTCTTTAAAAGCTTAAAGTTAAACTACTGATTATGAAAAAAACCCCAGCAGCTAATATTAGCTTTTATTAGCCTGAATTAGCTTACTCATGCCACATCAAAAAAATGTAACAAGAAGTATTTGAATATAATAAACTCAGCAAGGCTGTGTTTCTCATCCATAAACTTCCCTTTTTATTCCCATGAAGCATGCTGTGTAGTTCAGTTTACAATACTAAAAACAAAGTTAAATACTAAGGAAAGGTTTTTAGGGGCACTAAAGTTAAGTAGCCTTAGCCTAAAGCTACTTCAAAATACCGTAAAAGAAAGTCTTGACACAACACTTCATTATAAAAGGGTTTATTTTTTGTTTGTTAAGATTTCAACTTTTTGCTTTAGTTTTCATAGAGATACATAACATGAAAGACTAACGCTAGCTAATGTTACCCTGAAATAGCTACTTATTTAAAAACTGTAAGAGGGGAAACAAAATTATTAAACATATGAAACTGATTTTTGGCTTATATAAACAGTGAGAAATGCAATTTGTCCCATTAAAAATGTACAAACCAAACCACAGAAGTTAGATTTTTTTGTTAGCTTGAATTAACGCAGGCCATAGAGACTGGTTGGTAAACACTGCTATCTAGGGAAAAATGTATTTTGACTGGTTAGTACTGGAGGCAGTGGAGGTTGCTGCACAAACAACTTGTTGTTGTAATATAAGCTTTTCATTTCACTGTAACTGTTACTTATACCAGAAGAATTAGGCAATGGAAGCAAGACCAACTGACACATGTGAGATCGTTATATCTCTGCTCACTTGGAAAACACATATCCCACAATACTAGAGCTCAACTAATAAAAACTAAATAAAACATAAAACTAATGTGATTCAGTCAAGCAATAAAAATAGGTCAACCTTCAGCAGTGCTTTGGGAGAGTTTTTAGCAAGGACTTCATCTGAATGGAAGATGGTTTTATAGCCGAAATGGCATTGGAGAAGGAATTTTATCGTAGTGCTGGCAGGACTGTGAGTTTCTAAATCCAGAAATCTCTGGTGAAGTAATCACCGCGTCACTGGTATTGATGAACAACACTCTTAAACTGAAGCATTTGGTGCTGTAGGATTTAATACACCTTTAAAATATTTTACACTGCGGTGTAGACAGGCTTAGGAATAATGGCACGATTACTGCTTGGGAAAAAAAAATGAAACAAAATACAAACACATGCTGCGGACCTCACCTACGCCCTTGACATTTTTAACCCTGTTAATTATTTAACACATTTTTCCTCCTCTTTTCCCGTCAGAGGCAATCAGCTCCTTCACACCTCCTAATCCCCCCGTTCTCAAACCCTCAGGCTGATTCACATCTCCTAAAAGCAGCAGAGCAGCCGACCTCCTTGATGCGTCAGACAGACGGAGGAATGCTGGGAATGTCCTTCCCTGAGCCCAGTACTCCTCTTTTGCCCCCGCGCAACGCTATCGCTACACTGGAACAAACAGGGTTCATTAGCAGGGCTCGAAAATAGGAACCATACGCACGGCTCCCTGGCAAAGGGCCGAGTCCCCAGGGACATGAAAGACCTCAGTCCTTGCATCCACTCATGAGTCACTTTATAGCACAATAACCTAATAGCATCTCTCGTCCTGAGACATTTATCGGAGCATGAGCAGTAGGAGACGTAACCTCAGAATGGGATTAGTGCTCCAGAGGAACTGGTTTGTAAAAGAGATTTATGAAAAAAGGTAACTCAAGTGGAAGAAAGGGAAAGAGAGGGGAACGGAAAAAGAGTTGCCTAGTATGGAAAGGAATGCCATTCATCTGACTAACAGTAGTCCATATGGTTCTTATGAGTCCAATCTGAACAAGCCCGTGGTGATTTAAGGTGTTCACTGTTGGCGCTCGCGCCACAGCAGACATCATCCCGGCGAGGCCTTTGGGGTCAGAGCTGAAAACGTATACTGCAGGCTTTAAATACTCTCTGAAATAAACCAGAAGAGGAATAAACAGCTGCTTCTGGCTCTCCTCACTCTGGACTGATTATTTTTAAGGTTTTATCTGCTTAAAAGCATACACAGTCAAGTGATGTAAACCATTTGTTACTGCATGACTTAGATCTGAAGTTTTCAAATCTGGGCCCCTTATTACTCTCAAAAACTAGCGATACTGCCAGCAGGAAAAGGGTTACTGTTAATTTAACACTTTGTTTTTGTTTTGTGGGCTCTTTTGTTCATCTTAAACCTTGGTACCATTAAATGTCGGCCTACTTAGCCAATACCGGTTCCTGATTTTTTACAGTGTACTTTAATACTAAAGAAACCTAAAGACCTGCCTATTTCTAAAAATCTAAAATGTAACTTTGGATACTAAATAAGACAAAAAACTGTTTGGAGGGCTAGTGAAGTTGTGCTCTTTTGACATATAACGATGTGCTGCCTGCTGGCTACCTCCAGTGTTATTGTTAGGTTAATAAAAACACATCAGGACAGGGAAGGTGGAGGACGAGAGTTAGATTGTTCTCTCCAATGGGGAGAGACGAATGCCATCGAAAGGCAGGAAGACGACACTGAAAACAGGCAAACCTTCAGCTAATAAAATGTCTCTGAGGTTATTCATTAGTTTATTGTACTGCGAGTTTTTAAAAGCTTAGTTTAAACACACGCTACATATAAATACTTTTATTATTACTTTTAGAGACGACAGCTGAATGGTTTTGGGGACTCGTGACTATTCAGACAATGAAAGACGAGAGCTTAGTGGAGCGCAGTAGCATCGGTTAAAAAGATTCATCTGGTTTATCTGATTTATTGTCTTTCTATTGGCCCGGCTTGAGAGCAGCTTTAATGCCTTTTCATATTTTCTATTTTCTGCCCAGTGAAAATGTGCTGAAATGTGAAAAGCAGTAGGCATATTAAATCTCTCAGAGCAACCAGACACAGGAGATAACAAGCCAGCCTCCTGCTTGTTTAAAAGGTCACTCAGCCGGGCTACCTTCCCTCTGGGTTTAAGGGAAGCCTGGACCCAGCTGTCACATGCAGATGACAGCGAGGTGTCCGCTGAAGACCTCGGTGACCTTTTCTACAGGTACATGTCATCGCTCTGAGCGCCCATCAGTGGCTTCTTTCAGCCTCTGCCAGATGCACACTGCTCATTTATTTCCCTTCTGTTTACCCAGCAGGCTGTTGCTCTGAGGACACTTGGCGCGGCTATAATTGCCGCCGGGCAAATATTTACCACATCCAACGAGGTTGTTGCTTGCATGACGGCGGTGCGTGGCCTTTCAGAGAACGATGACATCACGAACAGCCGAGCCAAAAGGAGGGAGGGCGCTGAGCAAACATTTGTTCCCACTCAGGTGAGGGGAGCTCAGGATGCCTTCATGGACGATGAAGGGCAACGTCGGCGACTTAAACGAGCGGCAAGAGGAGGCAAATAGATGGCTTGTTAACACTCCTACGCGTTGTGGCGAGTGACTCATGTCTCTTTCAGCAGGACCCTGTTTACTTAGCCTGCTGGCAGGATCAGATTTTGGAAGGTAGACCTTTAAAGCTTTACTTCAGGGTCATTTGAGAGGTCTTGTCATAGCATCAACAACTACCTCATGGGCTTGTTATATACTCTCTCAGGTTTTATGTACTGATGGGCAATGAATTACTCTGTATATATGTCAGGTTTTACTGGTATTCACATCTTAAGATATAACCAAACTACTAAGTACTAGCACATATTAATAGTTTGGTCTCCAAAGCATAAAAACAAAGCTGGAGTGAAGTTTTAGGTAAACTATTAACAGTTTGGAGAATAGCAAAAGAAATCAGCTTGTCAAAATGTCACTGTATTTCCTTCTCTTGAGAAAATGTGCTGCTACAGATTCAGATAAGGCTGAACCTGAGAGTATTTCTTCTCTAAAGGAAGAACAGATGTGGTCGGCGGGTAACAGGAAAGTAAAAGTATACATTTTTAAGACCTTCTATAAAAGATCCATCTATTTTCTTAACTGCTTAATCAACTCGCGGTTGAAAGCAAGAGTCTATCTCAGTGGTCATGGGGGACAAGTGGGTTGCAGGTTACCTGTCCAAACAACTTTAAAGAACAAAATACACAATTTAAGTGAGACCATACTTGCTATGCTATTTTAAAATGACTAGTAATTGACCTCAAGAAGATATCTTATTCCCTCTTTCCAGGCACAGGCTTTAACCACCAGGAACAATAAGCTGATT